CCCCCCCCCCGATTCGCCTATTATTTTTGTAATGCGAATCCCGCGCAGCGCGCGCCGTGAAGTCGCGCGTTCTCCAAAGTTCCTCTCGTAGCACGAAAGAAAGAAAAAAAAAAGATAAATAATGAAGAAGGAGAGAAGGGTAGCAAAAAAAAAGACAGAGAGACTCTCGATGAAGACGAGCGTCTAGATGGAATCGCCCGGGGGACGATCGAACAAACACGATCGAGAAATCCAATTCTCCTTGCCGGTCAATCAACAATCGGTCGATCAGTCATAGGTTCGATCGGATCGAACCGATATTTTGGGCCCATATCTCGGAGCGATGCGCGCGGTACATTTACAGGAGAAGAGGGTGGGTACGAAAAATCCCGAAGGGGAGGGAAAGTGCGTCGTATGCGACGCGGAACGACGCGCGTCAAGGTGGGCTAACTTAAACGTTCCTATGTAAAGTAATAATAAAGATTTAAAGAGCACACATACACACACAGAGTTACTAAGGAAAAGAAGGAGGAACAAGAGGAAACAAGCGGATGCTGCTTAGACGCGGCGTTTAATAGAATAGATGGTGTGCGGCGCGCGAAACTAAAGAAACGCCGCCATCGTTACACATACGTACGTACATATTCATATACATATATATTATATATATATACATACGTCTATATATATATATATACACACGCATATATATATATAGATATTTGACTGTCTCTCTCTATCACTCTCTTTCTCGTTTTGACGCGCGTGTGCACGGACCTGTGTGTATGTGCTTGTGCGTGCGTATGTGTGCATGTGTGTGTATGTGTCGTGAATCGTTCAGCGACTTTGACAGCGATCGTGAAAAGTGTAAAAAAAAAAAAGTGACACCATCGCGTATGTGTGCGGCGCGCGAAACTAAAGAAACGCCGCCATCGTTACACATACGTACGTACATATTCATATACATATATATTATATATATATACATACGTCTATATATATATATATACACACGCATATATATATATAGATATTTGACTGTCTCTCTCTATCACTCTCTTTCTCGTTTTGACGCGCGTGTGCACGGACCTGTGTGTATGTGCTTGTGCGTGCGTATGTGTGCATGGGTGTTGATGTGTCGTGAATCGTTCAGCGACTTTGACAGCGATATTGTAAAGTGTAAAAAAAAAAAAAAGTGACACCATCGCGTATGCTTTGTATTCGTCGCGAATGAGATAAAGATGTCCGCGATTTTCGGGAAAGCGATGAAAGAACGAAGAAAAACTCACATAACACACAAGCGTATATATACACACGCATACTTACTCTTTCTGATTTATACATATTCATGTATACACACACACACACACACACACACAACACACACACGCGCACACCGTATACACATGTTATACACCGGGCTCGGCACGTACGTTTTTTTAACGTTCTTCATTTCCCGTAATTTGATAAAACGAGACATAACAAGACGGCGGACGAAAAGGAAGACGATGGTATATAAGGCGGTAATAAACCCCCGGTGCCCGTCGTCGACACGATTCGCGTGCACGAACGAGCAAGACCCACAAACATGGTTCCTATATTTAATAAATTATATTTATTAACACTAAACAAATGATTAGTAATAATGTTAATGATAATAATAATATTATTAATAATAATAAGTAATAATAATAATAATGAAGCTAGTAATAATAATGATAGTAATAACGATAAGTATTAGAGAGCTGTCGGTAGCTATAACGATTATCGCTAAGCAACGTTCGATGATCGGCGGGGGGGGGGGGGGGGGGGGCACCGTCGTCGAAAGGATAGAATCTGATCTTTGTGTTCTCAGATCTCTCTCTTTCTTGTTCTCTCTCTCTCTCTCTCTCTCTCTCTTTTCTCTCTTTCTCTCTATCTATCCATCTATCTATTTATTTATCTCTCTCTCACTCTTTCTATTTTCCATGTTTCATGTGAGCAAAACAAGATTTGAGCGGAAAATATACACTCTCGAAAACAGGATTTTAAAACAAAGACCGAATGCACGTATACAATATAGCATAAATAAATAAGTGACACTTTAGACATTTTCAATTATAAATATTATTATTGCGTAAAGTCAAGATGCTTCGGTGATGTAATCTGAAACTCTTTCAAACGGACTAAAATAAATTTCAAATTAGCGACTGCAATCAAGGAGATGAGATTTAAAAGATCATCTCACGTCTAAAGGAAAACATTTTAGAGACATACATCGCCCCGTATCTCGTAGGTTAAAGAAAGGGGGAAGGGGGGAGGGAGGGGAAGATTGCGCCCTTTCGGTTGGCAACAGGAGAGAGATTGTATAAAATCGAGAACGACACAAAGAATTCACTACTAGTTGGTAAGTTACGGATAAATTACGATTAAACTGTAGAATGTAAAGAGAAATGGGAAGTACATGCGCATCGACAGAGACGATACACAGACAAATACACGGACAAATACACATTCTCACTCACACATATAGGTATATATACAGAGAAGAAAGATTTCAGTAGATAATTATATATATACTTATATATACTTATATAAATATATATATATATGATGTTGTGACGTACTAGAATCCTCGCGGATATTATCCGGAACGGTGACGTGTCTACACGCGTACGTACGTCGTGTTCCTCGCTTTAGAAGCTCATTCTAGAGCACTCGCGAAAAAAAACGAAAACTCGCGCGTACGATGCGGCGCGTATGCATAGCTTTGGAATGCCGGAAGTGCCACCGGAAGTGCAAAAAGAAAAGGGAGAAAAGAACCGCGGTGTTTTACGCGCCGCAGTCTTGAATTTACAAAAAAAAAAAAAAAAAAAAGAGTATACTGCGGATATTGGAGAAGAACGAGACGAGTATCGCGTGAAACGAAGGGCGATGCTGTGAATAGAGAAATGTACCGACGAATGGGCGCGTTCGTTTTTAGAGATAGAGGGCTCGGGGAAAGCGTGAGAAGGGGAGGAGGGGGGTCTCTGAGAGATACGAGGACGTTAAACACGTATGGTGGTCGTTAAGATCAAACGAAACGCAAAGTAATAATTATTTTTAAGATACTAAGCAACTCGAGGTTCCTGTCTGCAAAAGATGCTTTTTCTAACGTAAAGTTGTAACGATGCGATTATTAATATTATATTTGAATTATTATTATTATTATATTATTATTATAGATTACGATATTATATTTATATGTACGTGGTCATGTATTGATTATTATCTATATAAACGTTACAGCGTTGAACTAGTATACATTTACATATTCCAAGACATACACATACACACACACACACACACATATACATACACACACACACATACTTCACACGTATACTAGCAAAAACATCTAATCGAATCGTTAATATCGAAATTCTCTCTCAGCCGATCGTCTTTCCGACCGGCACGATCCACCTTTACAGGACGTACCGGGAAAATTCAAAGCGGAATCTCTCTTCATATAAACCGATACCTCGCAAAATAAGACAATTAATTACGGGTGCGATCGAATCCCGTAGAATATTAATTAAGGCGATCATCGTCGCGCGCGTTTAGCGACCGCAAATTCGTACTCTGTCTCTTCAGAATTATTGCAAAAGGATAACTCTGTCACTTTCATTAGCACGAGGCAAGATGTTCCAAAAAGCGTCGCTTAAAAGCCGAGACGCTTAGACTGCGAGAGAGAGAAAGAGAGAAGCGAAATTCACATATTTCCCTTCCCCGCGTTTCCTACATACGTGTTAGAATCGTAGAAAAAAAAAATGCGAGAATGCACTTGAACGCACAAGGAGATGCGCTCTTCGACGGTGTCCATCGCGATCTTGGTCCTTCGAATTTGCTCGCGGGAGGCAGAGGAGAGCGACGCGTTTTATCGTAAGGATCGTAATATTCATTAATACACGAATCAAACACACATACGTACACAGATACACATATATACACGCGACACTGATATCGAATTTTGTGTATGAACTCGGAGCTACACATCGCATAACGAGCGTGATTCTCAAAACGCGACTACGTACGTGCGCGTGTACGCAAAACCGGCGCGTTTTGAGTTTCGAGTACGGGAGATTGCGTGATAGAGTAACCGAACCTCGCTAGCTGTTCCTAAAAATCAACAATGAGTGAGTGAGTGATTGAGCGTACGCGGAAATTATGTAATGGAGTGATGAACTGTGACGATATAAATGAGAAGAAACGAATGCTATATACATATATATATATATATTACTGCGTTGCGAAAGAAAAATTTTTAAGCGCGGTCGACGTCGCCGACGCCGTTTTTTTTCTTTCCCCGTCGATACGAAATACCCGGACGCCTCTCCCGCGTATATAAGATGCAACGATCGATACGATGATAATTCGTCCGTCTCTCTCTTCTCGCGTGCGCAACGCGGTCGATGATTGGCATCGGGCAAACGCGAGGGCAAACACCATCAAGAGCGCATTTTTACAGACAACTTTTCGCCGATGCGGAAGAGAGAAGAGATACGGTCGGAACAATTTGTGCGAGCTTGCTATATATGTACTTTATGCACACCCGATGACACTGACCATATATAAGCGTGTCGTACTCGATGAGCAAACAGTCGGAGTATTGCGTCGGTAGAAACGTTCGACGACGGAAGAGGCTACGGTGACGTCCAAGGTTTTTCATTTTTGTAATCTCGTTGAGTTTTTCTACTAAAATGCGTTGAACGTGTCTATTTATTATTAACTTTATCGATTGCCTATATTGCTATTGTGACTATTATTGCAATTATTGCC